ATTGAAGAATGTTTTGCAAGAGAGGTTTTATTCGGTAAGGTTTGTGATACTGAAAATATGTTTGACAGACAGGGTCATACAAGCCGAGATCCGTTGTCTCCAGTCCATCTTATAAAGAACTCTACTTTACCTATAAAAGCTAATTACGAACTGTTCTGCTTAAGTTGATAATTTGCTTGTATATAATCTAACTATATTTTTATTCTTTGCTAGCTTATTATACAATTCTTATTTGAGTTTCCATATAAATATATGCCCTAATAAAGTATCTGAACATTGTAAACTGAATACCTTAAGAGGTTTATAGCACTTTTTACTGTTCCTGTTTGATCTATCCAGTACCGAAATGCAAAATTGTTCTTTTTTGAATATCTTTGTTAAAATTATTTATACGAAAAAACAAATGTTAGCCTAAGTATTAGCTACTGACAATGAAATCATGATGTTTATAACCTATTGACATGCTTATAATGTCAAAATCTAGTAAATTATTTATTAAAACTGTATAACAGTACTATTAACTTCACTAATACGTACCAGTGTCGGTGAATATGTCAACGAAGCTGACTCCTGATCCACCATCACCAGATTCTATGTGAATGACGAGTATCCCAGATGTAATAAGGTTATCGTCGACAGTTATATTTACTTCCGGTTTACCAGAATCAATCTAAAGAAATTACAAACAGTTATGATTACAGTAAACATGAAAAAAAAAGATAACCAACCATCTATCGTTCTTATTATATTAGCCTATTAAATAATAGTTTATCTAAATAACTACTGACATAAATTTTGAAACTTGAAGGTGTCGTGTGGAGCAATATAGATATGAAAGCTCGTGATTGCAACAATTCAACAAGTTATATGAGTCATCATAATTATAATCACAACTGGTTTAAGCATAATCTTTAAAGATGTGAACGCACCGTGTTGAATATAGGCGGAGTGTCGATGGGATCATTTTGATCAAATATTATAGATGCTTTAGCATCAATCACCGACAAATCAATTGTGTTGAACCGAGGCTTTACACTAAATGTTACGTAACCCTGGCCATCCGTTCCATTTTCTGGGTTTGGTGGCAAAAATCCTTTCCGTGGATCCGTCGGTATTTGATCTGTACAAATATAAAATTTAAAAAAATGAATATTGTAATTGTGCTGTTGTTTTCTAAATTTATTTTGAAGTGTTTGTGTTTTAAAACTACCGATACTACACTTCGCAATATTATTACTAACATCTGTAAGATTTTAGGATATTTGTAGGATTTTAGCTTTTCTTACTTGTTTCAGGGTCAATGGCTCTGATGTCCCAGAGAATTTCTCCTCTACGATAGTCTAATAAAGCATCAACTTTTACAAAAAATCCGAAAATGTCAACAAAATCTATTCGTTTCTGAAAAAGAGGCAAGTATATAAATGTGTAGGCTACAGAGGTTTTGTAAGACAAAAATGCGTTTTAAGTCAAATAATATATTTAAGATTAGATATGATAAGATTTATTTTTCGTCATTTAAAGTATAGTCCATAATATGAAATTTGTCGTCCTAAGCAATAGAGTATACAAAAACAATAGAAAAATATAACAACATACAAAACTTCCATAAAATACAACACAGTTTTCTTGTGTATTTCCACAAAAAGTCATGAATGGATACTCTATGTAACAATGACAGTAACTAAAGCTAGGACTAACTTAATCAGTTAAATTTACCTGGTATGAGCCACTGGGTCTTTCTACTTCGTTTGTAAAGTTTCCGAAACCAAAATCACCAATTCGAAGAGTTCTGCTGTCGATATTGTCGTCAAGAATTGTTGTGATCAATACACGCTGTGCGGGCGCTGTTGCATTTATGTCATTTTCAAACCGTATTTTATACGTCAAATACTCATCCGTTGGCATAAACCGAGCATCGCCATATCCTGCTGGTCCAACAATATCGTTCTATTGAAAGAATAAAAACAGGCATGCATTATAATGTGAATCGGTAACTATAGGTTCTTGGATCTTTACATATAGGCATCAGAGATGGATGAACATAGATAATAGATCATTGTTTAGTGAACTACAATTATTTCAAATTTTAGGCCTACCTTATCTTAGTATACTATAAATAGTTAATGTTGGTTATTTACGTAAAATTATCCTATATACGTTCAGCTAGTAGTGTTCTAGAAAATACTACAATTCAAAGGTTGGAGTATTTGTTTAATAATTACAATGGTGATTGGTCAGTACACCGGGAGACATTCCCCTTCTCTTTTCCGAAGAGTGTACTGCGTTCTTTAACGTGCACATGGGCCATCAATGCACACGGGACCAACGGCTTAAACGTCTCATCCGAAAGACGGTGCGCTATTATAACTTGTATTTCAGCCCTCTAGCTGAAATACATGGAGAGGCAGCTAGGGGAATTGAACCGGGGACCTAGAGATCTCCACGGTTCAGCGCACACACAGTGGCTACCACCAGATTAGCCGACTGAGCTAAGCTGCTC